TTTTTTTTTTTTGTTTGCTACCACTCTTGGCGCACAAATACTTGATATCATAAACAGTCTCAATTTGCAGTCGTATAAAAACCGGTTCAACACTATAAAGGAATAATTTTAAACAACAGGTTAAGTGTTCAACGTTAAAAAAAAATAATAATAATAAATAAATAAATAAAATTTAATAAAATAAAACAAAACAGAACAATATCGTTGAAACAAAACTGCATAGCCCCGGTCGATCGAACAGACAGATCTCTTCTAAAATACAGATGACAAAGGCATTTTTCAGCTTTCTTTTCATCCCACACACTACTACTATATTTGTACAAATCGTCATTGACAATGGTTTGCGCTCATATTAACTATGCATTTCTGAAATTCACGCAGATTTATTTTACAGATTCTTCACTGCCTCTCAATTGTGCGCAATTTTTGATGACATTAACAATAGGATAAAAGTGTAAATTTTGCTAGGCAAGGGGGTGAGAAAAAAAACCTATTATCTGTATAGATTAATTTACACATATATCATATCAAAAAGAACAAAAATTATACAACCAAAAGTTATGGAACAAACTGTTACTGCAATTGCAGTATATTTTTTTTCTTTTACAAATTATAAATCTTAAAAAAACTAATAACTTTTTTTTTTTAATATAACTAGCTGAACAATTTTTCTATTGGCTATTGAGCATTCAGTATAGTATACGTATTCTTTGAATGGAAAAATAACTAAGTTTTTTAAATTTTTAGCTGATTAAAAAATTTTCTTTCGCGATATTCATTGCAAAATAAAAGCAAAACCCATTAATATCTGGTTTTTGAATCACTTTTTGCCTTATTAAATTACTAAATCATTTCAACATTTATCAATTACACATCCCTAGCACCCCAAAAATAAATGCCATTCACCTTGTTCTTCCCAATGTAACTTACCATCAGATGTTTCTGCTAAATTACTTAGAGAAAATTTGGAACTGACCAGTACTGTAAACCATCAGCACTTTTTTTCCTATACTATAAAGAAACTAAGCTTGTTTTAAACAGCAACACCTATAAAGTACCAATTAATGGTGTGCACAACAACTTAGTAAACATTTACCTGTTCCATAAAGGAAGCATAACTATATATACTAATATCTTCATAAGTTTTTTCATTTGCAATAAAAAACGTATACAATCGTGCCAAAAAAAAACTTAGCTTATTGCTGATTTATCTGTACAAAAACTGACCAAAACTGGTCCTTCAACCACTTATACATTTGATTCTGAAAGTTGATAATTACGACAATCAGAGACCAGATTCGTTTAATAAGTCTACCGTACAGTTCTTTGCTGACGTATCGGAAATGTTTAGATTATCAATTTGAGCTAAATTTTTTTCCGGTTTAATGTGTATAGAATTCACTGATTACTCGCTCTAAACGGACGACAATAACACTGAACTGACCAGGCGAGGACCAGTGGTATAAGAATCTTCGAATTTTTTTCACGGGAACTTTAAGAAAGGACATTTATTATTTCACCTCCCTTCAGCCACTCAAGAGTGAACTAGAGAACAATGGACAACCAGATGACACTCAGTTGCCGCGCTAACGACTTTGCACAACCCACAAGATTCACTTAATTACCGCCTTTCACCTGCATAAAGTTTCGACCTAACACCGACTTGTGTTTGCGGTAAAGTCAACAGACAGCAGTAACTCCAAATAACCTGCTTCCACCACCTCAACCCCTACAAATCATGTCAACTGTCTAGACGTGCTGTTCCACTATTAAATCAACCCCTAAACCAGAATATGCACTTGAACACCCAACATGACATCACAATAGTCCTCCGCTAACCAAATGAACAACCTGCTTCCAGCTTCCAAAACCTCTCCTAAGACTTTGCCAGCCAACTGCAGCGCATCTGAAGCCTTTTAAAGCCTTTATTTCACCGTCGCTACTAAAATTGAACAATTTAACCAAACGAAAGTCTCTTTGCTTCTGCGCTATAATATGTCACATACTGTACAAAAAA